AGTGCCATGCTGTCAGGAGAAAATTGGGTTAACATTTAAATTGAAGATATAGATGTTCATACAACTGGAGAAGATTTTATTAATATGAAATGTATGTATATGGATATACTTATATTACTCACATCAAGATAAGTAAGTGAAATATTTTAATAAAGATTCATGGATGGAACTAGATTAATTCCTGAGAACTAAAGGATCTGTGGTCATTGTTGCATCTCATTCTGAGAATAAGTACAAGTGAACATGTCAAGAATTATGACAATCATTGTGCTTCTGTAAACTGATTTCTTACATATTCTAATTACATTTTTTAAAATTAGTAACAACTCTGTGTTCTTTAGCTTTCCCAAACTGGGACTTAATTCAGTTCCTGATGCAAAACAGTGTATAATTTTTATGTAAGATGACATATTATTAAGTCAAAGGAGTGACAATTGTTTCTCTAACTTCTTAGTAACAACAAAAGGGAACTTAAGCAAATATCTAATTTATAAAGTGTCCTGAAAAAAGTCACTGTGTCATCATTATCAGATTCTAAGCCAAGATAATATCAGAGCTGCTCACATTTTTAACTTTGGAAAATTATCTAAGATTTTGACTACTCAGGGAATAAAGATTTCAAAAGGTCTTAGAAATGCCATTGTGAAGATCTTATTAGGATTATGTTTGAGAGCTGTTCAGTTATAATAATCATAAGAATGCTTGACAGCTGCATCTCTCACACTCAGGAACCCAAGACTGGCTACCTCACAAGTTGTTTACACATTATTTCAGGGAGCAGTAACTGTCATTTGCATCATCAGAATTCCCTCCACCATGATATCTTATTCCCTCCAACCTTGTTCCCAAATTTAATTTGACCACATTAGCATGATATTGGTTCATGGAGATAAGAACTCTGCCTATCAGGTAGCCAAATATTTATAGAAAACAAAGGGGTAATGAAGTCCTTAGTAGTTATAGCAGGATCCCATTTTACAAGTTCTCTGTATCTTTTCTTATCTGCTAGAACAATGAATGACTTTTTGCTCTTGGAGATATACATGTTCAAGTATTTAGTACTGTGGCTTGGATTTTAAAGGTCTCTCAAAAGCCCAAGTGTTAAGGGCTTAGAAACAAGTCTGGTGCTATTGGGAGGTTGTAGACTCTTTAAAGAGTTGGACTCTTGTGTGAGGAGGTAGGTCATTGGGAACATCTCTGAAGCAGAAATGGAAAATGGGGCTTCTAGCTCTTTTTCATGTGTTTCTTGGCCATTATGAGATAAGCAGTTACCACTTGGTATCTACCATGATGCTCTGTCTCACCATGGGCTTATAGCAACAGAGCTAACCAACCATGGACTGGTACTTCTGAGACCATACTCAAAATAAATTTCCACATCTTTAATTATCTCAGGTATATTTTTCATTGTGACAGAAAGCCAACACATTTAGGATCAAATGTTTGCAATTTGCCTTCAAATGAGAGAGAAAGAGAGAGCAAGAGTGAGAGCAAGAGAGAGAGGGCGAGAGAGAGAAACACAAATGATGTGGCAGTGTATAGACAATGGCAAACATACAGGTATTCAATTTATTTTTCCTTCAATTTTCCTTTACATTTGGAATTTTTTCAATATAAAATTGGATAAAAACTTAATAATCGGCCAGGCATAGTGGTACACAGCTTTAATCCTATCATTCAGGAGGTAGGCAGGTCTATGTGAGATGGAGGTAGGCCTGGACTATATGGTGAGTTCAGGTCAACTGGGGCACCAGAGAGACCTTGTCTCAAAAAATCAAAATTAAAACACAGAACACTTCCGTCAAAGACCTTAACCTATGTGAGGAAGAACCCTAAAGATTTAACAGTAATTGAAGGAGACTACAATTTGTGACTTCAATAAAGGTCTAGAAATAAAGCAAAGACAACCTTTCTAAAAGAGGAAATTTTGTCTTCATTATGTTAACTGTGAGTCTATTGGCTTGTTGTTGTTGGTAATGATTAATTCATTTCTTTTTGTTTGTTTTGTTTTGTTTTGTTTGAGACAGGATTTCCTGAAGCCCAATCTGACCTGGAACTTGCTGTGTAGACCAGGCCAGCCTCGATCTCACAGACCACCAACTGCCTCTGCCTCCTGGGTACTGGGATTAAAGTCATGTGCCACTACGCCCGGCTGATTAATTAATTTCCTAAGGTACTTTTAGATTTATAAAATAACCAAATAAGTAAGTACACAGATTTTCATGTACTCACCTTCTCCTCAGAGTTTCTTCTTATAAACATATTAGTATGACACATTTGTTACAATTAATGGACAAATACTAATGCATTTTTATTAACTAAAACCCACAGTTTACTTAATTTTTTATTCTCTGCATTCTGACAAGTGTGTGATACGTATCCCCCATCACATTACCACCATAGCAATTGCAGTGTTCCCCTCAAAGTCTATGCTCCATCTGTTCAGTCTTTGCACAGTTTACTCACTTTTCTAGTGAAGGCATCTTAGTTTCTTCCAGTGTTTGGTGATTATGGATAAACATATGTAAAACTAGGCTTCAGTGTGTATGAAGCTACTAAGTTGTCTTCCAGAATGCTTGTGCCATCTTGCATTCCCAGTACCAATGAGTGAGGAGGCCTGTGGCTCTGCATCCTTACCAGTACTGGGCATTGTTATATTATTGAATTTTAGTCAATCCAGTAGGTATGCTGTATGCTGTGCTAGTTAATTGTTGTTTTAAGTTATAATTCCCTAATGGCACATACATACTTATTTGACCTCTGTATGTTGTCATCCCTAATTTGATGAGGGGATGAAAGGTCTGTTCAGATACCTTGCTCATTTTTAAATTGCCTGCGTTGTCTTCTGAGAGCTCAATGGCTTTCTATAAAGAGGGTGTTCTCATGAATAAATCAAATGGAAGTCTCTTATCATGAGTTTATTTATTCAGCAACTTCAACAGGTACTGCTACTACCACACCTAGGATCTGCATTCTTTTTCTCTCCTACTAACAGAAACTTGACATTCTTCTGTCTTAAAATACTTGGTATTTTTGTCTCCTTTGCAGCCATGTCACATGAGTCTAAGAAGCAGCAAACACAGGATGATGATTGGGGCTTCCCAGAGAGACTGTTAAAGGGGCCTGACTCCATTGGCATGGACCTCATTATCTTTTGTCCTTTGCCTGTCCCCCTATACCGTTTTCTGAACTTGATGCAATGTCTAGAAGAGCAGTCTTGTGAAGGTGATGGCAAGAGCCACAAGGCAAGGCTCTAAAAAGTGTGATACATAGGACACCTGATACACATGACACCATGGAGCTAGTGCAGAAACTTGTTCCAGAGTTGTTTAATGATGTAGTACATTTGAAATAAGTTCAATATACTATGGGCATAATACTAAAGACATAGTATACTAAACTACATTTTCAGTAATACAGTACCAGGCATTCATGGGACGAGAGGAGAATGAAATAAGGACGTTATGCTCACAGAACTGATATAATTAAAAGAACTGACCCATATGAAACAAACTTGAATACTCCATGAAACTGACTAGTGCTCAGAGCCAGTGCAAAGTTAGTCTGGGGCAACTCAAGTAAGGTAAGGGTTACTGAAGAGGGAGGAACCAGGAAAATGCAACTAGGGACTATCAAAAGGCACTCTGGATAAAATGTAACTAGCTTCTGTCAAAAGGTACTTTGGGTGTCCTATGCCTTCAGGATTTTAAGTTTTCAATCAATGACCCAAATATAGACATGGCAGCCATTCCCCTGGGTGAGTGAAGATGAAAAGAAGCAAAGACAATTTTAATTTGAATGTCAATTCGACTTTGGGCTCAGCATAAATTTATCATTCTAGTAGCAATGTTTCGAGTACTGGGTCACTGAAATCCTATTTACCTCATTACCAGTATATCTCACACTGATATGACATGGAAACCAGCACGTTTCGTTTTAGTAGAGGTTTCAAAATCTTTCCTTTGAGGGTGGTGTAGATTCTGTGAATGGCTTTTCTATCGTCTTTCTGGTCCCACGAATTCTGCTAAAAATGCTTTCAGTTGTTACACATTTCCCCAGCTTTTAGTTGTCACTAGCAGCTCCCTTGTTCCATATCTTTAAAGACAATGGCAAGACAACCGGAATTAGTTTTTCTTGTGCTTTTTACTGGGATTTGAAAACATTTTTATGTCTTTCCATTTCGTGATCTTATTTGTAAATAAAAAAACGTGCAAATAAGACACTTGCATTATTTCCATTTGGTATTTTAAAACTCACTTTCCTTGGAAGCTGGAAGAAAACACTTGGCATTTCTACTTTCCTTCCCTTTTCTCCCATCTTTTTTTGTTTATTTTCTCCCTTATCTCAGGTCCAAGTTGGTAGTACAGGAATATCCTATATTTAGTACGTAGTGTGCTTTTCACACAGGTGAGGTCAACAGAAGTTGGGAAAGGAGGAACACTGAGGGAAGAAGACTGCAGATGGAAAAGATGGGAAGATTTTTAAAAATTTTATTATTTTTATTTTATGTGTATGAGTGTGTTGCCTGAGATGGGAAGATTTTGAAGGCCGAGTGTTAACGAGTTTGGAGCCTGGCAAGGTGCCAACGGATGACAGGGTTGTAATTCTCTCAGGGTTGAATGCATGCTCAGCTCTGCAGGATGGCTGAGAACATAACAGGTGGACAGACGTCTGCTTCCAGGTCCCAGGTGGGAACTCGTGTTCTGCACCCACATGGGCCCTTCCAATGAACTCGGCCCCAATACCCCCAGCTTTCCGCGGCAGGAGTCCAGCCAAAGCCTCAATTCCAAGCGGGGGAGGACAGGGGGGAGGGCCACCTCCTCCGCAATCCCCCGCCCCCGCAGCGCCAACGCGCCGCACTCCTGCCGGCTCCCCATTGGCTGCAGCGCTCGCCAATCGATGCGAGGCGGCCCTGAGAGTGGACTGCGGTTGGTGGAGCCGGCGTTGAGCCCCCCTCCGGCTCTCGTAACCCCTCCCGGAGGGGGCGTGGCCGCGGCGGCCCGGCCGGGGGCGGTGTCTGTTGCTCCGCTGCACTGTGCGGTGCGGGCGGGGGAGCCGGGCGGTCGTGGCCGGCGGGACCATGGAGCTCGGATCGCCGCGCCGGCGTCGGTGGGACAGCGGAACGGTGAGTGCGACTGTGGGCCCGACTCTGCGGTGCAGGCGCCCTGCCCCGCTCGGGGCGGGCCTGTCAGGGGGAGGCCGGGGGCCGGCCCCGGGGCCCCTCAAGTGAACTTGCTGCATCGCCCTGCATCGCCACCTGCGAACCCGCGGAGTCCCTCGGCGGCGGCTGCTCGGGTCCCTCCGTGCGGCCCCGGTATACGCGCCCGGGTTGCAGGTGGCGCCGGGCCGCGTCGGGACCTGCGCATCCCTCCCCATCCCCGGCCCCGCGCCGTCCCGTGTGCGGCCTGGCCTGCGCCGCCCGCCGGGTCCTGCAGGCCTCGCGGTCGGTGCCTGTGGGCTCCGTGGGCTCCGCGGCTTCTCGGCTCCGGGAGCCAGGCGGGCTGCGCGCCCCGAGCTGCTAGCTTGATGCTGACCGCGGATTCGCCCGTCGCTCGGCTGGGCCCACGGGGCCCGACCTTCGCGCCTCGACCGCCAGAGCCGCTCAGAGCGCGCAGTCTTTTCCTCTCTGCCCTTGATACTTACCGGCCATGGCAGTTTGGTCTTGGTTTGGCCTCTCTGCAGTGGAGAGTAGAGTTCTTAATTATTGAGAAACTATGCGATAGGCCTGGATGAATGGAACATGACATTTTCTTGGCTGCTATTGGGTAGAACAAGGAATTTTTTTTTTTTTTTAAATCCAGGGATAATTTTAATATGGTGGTTTACTTCTAGCAATTGTTTTTCCAGTTTTCAAAAAACGAAGGTTAAAAAGACTCGTTTATTGCGACGAAGCTTTTAAGTTCAAATGCCCGATGGAGTATGATATTTTGACTTTTAAGATTCCTAATCCACATTTTATAAGGAGAGCGGCTAGCCATTTGAAATATTTTGCATTTTAAAAGTTTGGTTTGTTAAAAACTTAAAATACCTAGGTCTCTGTCTCAAACCGAGTTCATTGGCTGTTTTTGTATATGCTTTACCAAACTTTCCTTTTCAAGTAGTGAAACAATGCTGTGATTCTTTACAGCGAGTTCTTCTATCGACTTGAGAGGTTAGCCCAGAGAAAGCTGGTTTGACCTTTCCCAAAGGCAGTTAAAAATTGTGTCTTCACTGTTAGCTTCTAGGGTTCTAATAGCTTTCTACTGGCACCCATTTTTCTTAATTCAAAAGATCTTCCGAATCGATTGTCGAGAAAGTTGTGTTGTTTCAGATGTTTAAAGCTCACTGGATTGTAAAGTATGACTTTATAGATTTATCACTTGGCCCTGTGTTTGTGTTGCCTTGAAACAGTGAAAAGGAGCTTGTTCCAAATCCATGTAGAAAGAGTGCATTTGTACTTCCTGGCTCTGGTGAAGTTGCTTTATAGCATTCCTGATCTGTTTGCTTAAAATATATGATCTAATTATCAATGATGTCTAGAGTAATTCCAAAAATTCTGCACACAAAGGTGGGAAACACTTTACTAAGCAGTCACGCCAGTGACACTTCTGTCTTGGTCCATTGGCAGTGTGTCTTTGTAGACATGCTTCACAGTTTCCATAGAAACTTGCATGTTGACAAGCAATTTTTTTGACTGCTGGATGTTTGGATTAAAATGTGTCATAATGTAGAAAGAATTGTCTGTACTCATCATGGACCAGCACTACTGGTCTTCTGGTCTTAGGAATTTCTTTTGAAGAGGACAGGTTATGTTTTTCACTTGAGAGTGTCCCTAAATTGCTGTGCAGACAAATTGCTCACCTTCTCTTAAGTTTTATTTATTTATTTATTTATTTATTTATTTATTTTTACCACTTCCTTAAATTCAGTTTTGATGTGTGTATGGTGTATGCATGTGTGTCTAGGGGTGTGCATGGGTATGTGCATGTGTGTCTGTGTGTGGGGTTCCTCTGTCAGTCTGACTTATTCTCTTGAGAGTCTTTCACTGAACCTAGGGCCCCCAGTTCTGCTAGCTAGTGGCCACCAAGCCCCAGCAATCTTGACTCTGCCTCTGCTCATCCCCCACCACTGGGGTACATAGCCACACCCGGCTTTTTACCTGGGTGTTCAAGATCTGAACTGAGGTGGGTCCTCATGCTTGTGCAACTAGCACTTTTACCCACTGAGCCATCTCCCCACATTCAGATCATTTTTCGTTCGATTTTGTCTCTTGCTTTACTTGGGGCATTTGGAACTGAATGCTGCTTACAGCCCCTGCATTCTTCAGGGCTGGTTCTCTCCTGTAACTTAATCTGATGCCGGTGATGCAGGAATATTTTACTCCAGTAACACATAAATAACACGCATTGTAACAAATATTGTTTTAGAGATATGGAACAAAAAGTGACAGTTTCCTCCCCCCCTCTTCTACCCATCCTAATGCTGTTTCTTCAGGGGTAACCGTACTTAATACTATGGAGTATATCTGTGGTGGTTTGAATGTGTGTTTCTCATAGGCTCCGAATACTTGGATGCTTGCTTGGTCCACAGTTTGTGGTCCTGTTTGGGGAGGGTCATGGAACCTTTGGGAGGTGTGGCCATGCTGGAGGAAGGTATCAACTGGTTGTGGGCTTTGAGAGTTCCTAAGCCTTGCTGTTTTTTTCCAATTTGTTGCTTCCTGTTCCTGCTTAAAGATATGATCACTGGGCTTTCTGCTTTGGCTGCCTCTTGCAGCCATGCCTCTCTGCCATAATGGATTCTTACCACTGTGGAACGGTAAGCCAAATAAACTCTTCCTTCTACAAGTGGCCTTGGTCATGGTGTTTTATCACAGCAACAGAAAAGTAGCTAATACAGTATCTTTTCAGATTTTCAAGTGGGCTTTTCTATTAAAAAACGATCAGGTGAGTGCTCACTACATACCAGGCAGTTTCTTATTCACTGGCATTACAGAAATGAGAGATGTGAGCTTTCAAGGTATTCGTAATCTACTCTGACAGACAGTGCAGTGTGCTAAGTGCTGTGATAATAGAGAGGGATGAGCAAGCTTCATGGATAACCTAATGCGTTCATTCACATGTTTTCATTCTTCAGGGTACTTTAGTAAGAGTTTTTAACCCATGGTAGGAGTATATTAATAAGCAGGACAAATACCTCTGAACTTACTATGTAGTTTGGGTCATTCATTATAGTGTGTGCCCTGAAAGGACTAGCCATTAAAAGTTCAGAGGAGAACCACAGACTAGAATTAAGGGACTATGCCAAGATGAGAAAAGTCTCCTAGAGGAGGCACATGAAAAGGAATTGCTTATCATCTAGGTTGAGAAAGAAGTGTTCAAAGATATGGTCAGGGTGCATTGGAACAACTGAAAACAGCGTAAGTTTAATATAGCATTGGGGTAGGGAGGAAGCATGGGGAAGTAGCAAGACGTGAGAAAGGAGAATAATTGGACTGTACTGTACAGTGCAGGCAGTTGCTGGTGTTTGGAGTTCGAACATCAATGGACAGTAGGGTATGATCGAAGGATTTTGAACAGAAGAAGGAAATGGCCAGTTTACCCTTTGGGGAATGAATTGAAGGGAGAAAACTGGAAGGAGGAAGATTTGAGGTGGTCGATTTGCTTGGAGTTAGCCTTTGGTTGGATGAGTATATGTGATTCAGGGGAGAGGGATCTTTTAAGGAAGTGCTCTGTTGTCCTTTGTGGTTTGGTGATTGGGTGATGGCCCAGTGCTTCCATGCTTAGATGGGGGGTAACACTGGTGGTGGAGGTGGGGAGATGAAGGGTCACACTTAGCCAGGTTGTCTCAGCTGCAGTGGCAGTGTTCTGTTGTCAGCTCCATGAGATGTCTGGGCCAGAGCTGTAAATACCAGAGTTCCTAGCCCAGTGTGAAGACTGTCTGAGGTGCTGCAAGGAACCCACAGGGAGACAGTGATGGTTTAAATTACTGAGGAAAACACAGTAATTGCCTGACCTCTGTCCACCCCTGTGAAAACAACCATCAAGGTAGTTAAATTTCCAAAGTAGATCACCCTCTGTTCCTTCCAGTGACCTCATCTTGGCAAAAAAAGTTTTTGTAGGTTGTTGCATTAAAAAAAAAGTCAGCATGGGAAATATGGAGCATCACAGATGTGCATTTAGGGGCTTGTTCAGAGAGATGAGAGGAAGTATATGAGAAGGCATTGGTCAAATGGAGGACTGAGCAGGAAGTGTGCGAAGATGGTCAGGTGAATTAGTGTGGAACAAGAATTGAGGGAGAGGTGCCAGAGTGACTGTAAGCCAGTGCTCAGTAGGTACACCTGTACCATTATTAAATACCAGTTTCAGTTAAGAATGAAATAAAGGGGTCAGTAGTTAAGAGGACTGACTACTATTGCAAAAGACCCGGGTTCAGTTCCCAGCACTCAAATGGTGGCTAACAACTGTCTGTAACTCCAGTTCCAGTAGATCCAACATTATCTCTTCTGACCTCTGCAGGCATTGCATGCATGGGTGCACTTAATGTACACGTAGACAAAACACTCATACACAGAAAATAAAAGTAAATAATTTTTTAAAAGAATGAAATAAAAGTTCCATTCTTTTTTCTTTTTCTTTTTTTTTTTTGGTCTTTTTGAGACAGGGTCTCCCTGTAAGCCCCAGCTAGCCTGGAACTCACTATGTAGACCAGGCTGGCCTCGAACTCACAAAGATCCACCTGCCCCTGCCTCCTGAGTGCTGGGATTAAAGGCGTGCGCCACCACGCCTGGCTAAAAGTTCCATTCTTTAAAGTTAAAAAATTGTTAATTTTTTATGTGTATGTTTATACTACACACATGTGTGATGTCCATGCAGGCCAGAAGAGGATATTGGATCCCTTGGAACTGGAGTTAAGGACAGTTATTATCCATCATGTGGATGCTGGGAACCGAACTGGGTACTCTGCAAGAGTAGCCAACATCCTTAACCACTGAGCCGTCTCCAGCCCCAAAAGTTCCATTTTTCAAATTAAGAAAATTTTGTGTGCTTGTATACATGCATGTGGGTATACGTCTATATGTATATGTGTATATGTGCATGTTTGTGGAAGCCAGAGTTCAACCTCTGGTATCCTTCCTCAAGAGCTGTT